TCCGCTCACTGTTCCGTTCCGCTCACTGCTCCGTTCGCTCACTGTCTGTTCCAATCACTGTCCCGTTCTGATCACCCTTCCGTTCCGATTACTTTTCCGTTCCGACCACTGTTTCGTACAACTAGATTGACTCTCGACTGCCCCGATTCACGTACCGGACTGTTTTTTTTCCTTTTTCCAAATCCATTCCTTTTTGCGCGATCTAGTTTATGATAACAAGAAAAAACACCACCACTGATAACGTACACCCCTTATCCAACCCCGAGGCAATCCTGAAGGCTGGAAACGCCGAAAAGAGACGCAACAAACAAAACCTACCTAGACCTATTGCCCCGTTACCCTTGCCGTCCAATATGACTCCGGAAATCATGTCGGATGCAGTTCCCCCAGCCAGTGGACAAGAAAAACCAGCCAATTCCACCCGAGATTCCGCGCGTACCGCTGATGGTACCGACATGAGCACGGCCAAGGAGTGGTTCAAGGCTGTTCTCAAAATCCAGCATTCGTCTATTGCGCAAGCCCAAGAGGATTGCCGACAGGCTATCGAAGACCGTCGGACGGATCGACAATTATTCCTTGCGGCCCATCAAGCTAGCGCGACCCGCATCGCCCGCTTAGAGGACTTGCTCCTGGCAATGAATGTCAAGAACAAAGTCGCCGCCCGACCCGCGCAACCAACACCAGGTCGAGTTGATCTTCAAAAATTTCGCACTTTGGACGGACCCATGTTCCGCGGCCCCTTCCAGGAAACGGAATCGTTTCTGAGATGGATACACGGGGTCCAGATCTTCTTCGAGACAAAAGATGTCTCCAATGCAGCCGACAAAATTAAAATACTCGGCAACCTCATTGCGGAGACCAACTTACAATTGTTCTACGCCAACAAGGCAGCAGGTTTCCTCACCCAATCGTGGGAAGAATTCAAGACGCGGATGTTTGATTTTGCGCTCCCCACCAACTGACGCTCGGGATTACAGCGCCAAGTCCGCAAGCTAGAAATGGCCTCTTCCGAAACGTTTCTTGAATACAGCACAAGAGCTCGAACGTTGCAGAGCCTTTTCAATTTTGATGCCGACAAAACATCAAAACTTGGTGATCTTCAACTTGCTCAGTTTGTCGTTTACGGGTTAGCTGATGCCATACAAGATCAAATTAACAAGAGACAACTCCTAGAAGTGGCCCCATTCAGCTACGGTCCTTTTGAGAAACAGGCCAACGCCTCTTTCCTTGCGTTACAACGGCCGACTCAATTGCCAACGTTGTCCAAATCAACTCCTAACGCGCCACCAGCCCTGGGCCGAGAAGAGTTCATCTGGCGCGTACACGCATATCTAGATTCACAAGGGCTTTGCCACTTCTGCAAAAGACACTGCGGCAACGCTTTGGGGACCTGTCCTGGACCAATTGACCGATCACACATCGACATCCCTAGCAAATTCCAGACCCCACCTAAACCGCCTAATTACAGCGCCCCCCGCGCCTGGAGCAAGGAAGCTTCCACCCCAGGCAAACCGACTCATCCCCCTGCTGGACGCCCTACAGTGCGAGCGCCGACCGTGGCGGGTATCTCAACGGAATATCCACTCGAAGCCCAAGTCTCAGCCCTGACACTCGAGGCAGCAATCAGGGAAGACAATCAATTTGACAGCCAGTTTGACGACGAGGGCTATTTTCCTAGCCTCGACACGGCAGCCGTAGCTGCATTGGAAGAACTCGACAACCAATTACTCTTGAATGAAATTGAGAAGGTGACACAAGCAGACTTGGCAGATCACATTGCAGGCCGTTGAGGAATCCATCTCAGCAGACTAGATCAACACCACTGTTTTCCTTTTTAAATTTTTCTTTTCTCTCTTTTTTTCATTGTTTTATAGGGGGGGAGACTGTAAACCCCCTCCCTCTGTGGTCAGGGTTTCATAAGAATTACAACTAGATGTCACATTTCTCTCTAGTTTTCCGTCTCAGTCTCCCTTCCTGACTCAGCAGAGAACTGACCCCCAATTCTCTCTGAGTCAGGTGAGTTTCCTTTATTCTCAATTTCCCTTTTCTTGTATTTCTTTGATTCAGATTGTAGGAGAGAACTGACCCCCAATTCTCTCTGAGTCAGAAATAAACAACTATCAGTTTGGTCTTAGAAAAGTTGCCCAGGCTTATAGCCTGTCCCCGTGCCTTTTTCCACCTATTCAGTGAAGGACATTACAGTCCTTACAGTTTGGTCAGCTTGACGCACCACCTCCTCTCCGCCACTACCATCCTTGATGGTAGTGGCTTTGAAGGACAATCATATATGAAAATAATGGCCAACAGAGTTGGCTGTGCTTTATCGTACCAAAAATCCCCTATGAACCAAAGGATTGTTCAGTTGCCCAGCTACCCTACACAACAGGAGAGGTGGGGGGGGGGGGGGGCGGTCAGCTTGAGGCCCTCTTCTCCTCTGCGCAGAGGCGAGATGACATCAAAGCGAAAAACACGGCCAGTGGATTGTTTCATTTGCTAGC